GTCGTAATCTATCAAAATGAACCGTCACAATTTGCCAATTTTCTTGTAGTGTTGCTTCCATAAATTCTTTGATGATTTATTAGATGACTTGTATTGTATTTACATCGTTTGTTAGGTGAGTAAAATTGCCCCGTGGTTGAAAATGCGTTAATTTCTTCATTTCTTATTCGAAGAGGAGTTTTAGAGTGATTCAAGAATGAGAATGTAGTTGTTATTTGAAGAATTGCATGATATTTATTTAAGAATTAAATTATTTTTCATTGTTCGATTCTAGGAAGTGGTGAACATTGCTTGTGTGCATTTGTTTACTTCTTTGAGCCATAAATACATTCTTGGGTGAATTAAATGCTTGAGCAAATCCTCTTGTTTTCAATGAGAGGCATAATTTGCTTGAGGACAAGCAAAGATCTAGTTGGGGAGAGTTTGTTGAATGTTAAATTTTCACTAAATTGATCCTTATTTATTGGTATTGTTGAACTTTTTTGTTATGTTTTGTTGGATTTACTCCATGATATCATGCTATTCTTCAATATTGTTGAACATACGTTTGGTTGCTTTAGTTATTGTGCAAAAATTAGTCATAAAAACATCAAAGTGTAAAACACAAGTAATTGGACAAGGAAGCCAAAGGAAAAGAAGAGATTCAGCATGTTCGTTGAGCGAACATCCAGCGAGGAGTATTAGCGAATGTTCGTTTGACGAACTCATGGCGAAGCCCCCTAGTGAACCCTCTTAATTTAGAGGCAATAAGAAAAGGGCACGAAGTTTGCTGGGAGAACTGTCAGCGAATTTTCGTTGTGGCGAGGTCTCAGCGAAGGACCAGCGAACCATCCCAGATTTGAGGTAGTAGCTAAAGCACCATAAGTCCGCTGTGTGAACTTGTAGCGAGGTAGTTCACAGGGCGGAGAATTGCCCGCATAACAAACTTCAAATATTTCTCAGGAACGGTTTAACTGTTTAGAGGCACTTCAGGTACCTAAAAGTGTGTTCAATGGGCAAACTTAACTGATTCCAAAAGTACTATATAAGTACTTTTCACAACTTTTGGAGATCATAACCCATTTTTCACACCAAAACTTCATTTCTCAGCATTTCTTCACCAAAAGGTGATATTTTGCAAATAGAAGCTGAATTCGCATCCGAGTTCGATTCTTCGACATGGATGATCATTTATCTTCTTCCATTACTTATAAAGCAAGCTACCATGGTTATGGATAGCTAATTTCTCTTGTATTAAAGGTAGAGGTAGTCTACCATTAGCTTATATGTATTTCTTTTGATTGACCTTGTATGTGAACAAGTGATGATTAATATATGATGAATATTTTTGTTCTTAATGATTCATTCTTGCTTTGTAAAACTCGACATAGATTTTGTGAAACTTGACCTAAAATATTCATTTATCGATTTATAGATTAGAGAGATCGGTCTATGGTCAATAGTTTCTTTGTGTTGAACTTAAAGCTTACTATATTGGTTATTATATGGAGAAATCGTGTAGTTATGAATACGGTATTTCTCACGACGTCATTCTAGATATAGACGATGTTGAGAGAATACACAACGATCTTAATCGGATCCGACTTCACATGCAAGACTGAAAGAATACATATAAATTAGGGTAGATGAAAACTACTTTTGATATACTTTGTTAATCAAACTCTTTAGAATTTATTAGTTTTGCTACTAAAAACGTGACAATTTTATGAACAAAACTTTGAAGCCCTTTTTCTTGAAATTATAAACTGTTGAACTACAAGCATTAAAACATCTGCAATCCCTGTGGAGACGATAACGAAAACCCCTCTGTATTTATAATTTAACAACCTTACGCGTTCCAGCAGATGAGCGACTGGACATGGGGACATGGCACATATTGTACGCGTAAGCCCCTGGGAACGTCCCCTTGTATGCCTAATGCCCCCTTGCATATGTGTATGGGCAGCCTGCACAGAAAAATTCAGTTTTTCGCATCAGTGCGATTTTTCACCCATTGGAGCACCTTCAAGCTCCTATTTTTGACCCAAAATAATACATATACTAGTTAATCATCAATGGTTTTAATCTACTTCATTAAACTATCACTCTATCAAGGTTATCTACAATCTAAATCACATTTTTGTCATCTCCCAAAAATATATTTTTCTCAAATCCGTTCTCATGGTAAAACACAACAACAATACCTAATTTACACTAAATTCATATCAATATCAGTACACCAACACGAATTCACAGCAGCAATCATATAAATATTTAAAATCAAACAAAAAGGAAAAAGAATACACATAAAATTCTATGAGGGAAAGGAACCCTCACTACCCTCTCATGTTTTGATCACCATTAAAGAACCCATTCTCCCCCTTACCTTAATTCCAAGCTTAATCTCTCCAACAATAGTGGAAAACTCTTGATCTTCTCTTACCCCAGCTCTGCTTTCTTCTTTCTTTCTCTTTTCACGTGTAACTGCTACCGTAACTTCTTTCCCCACTTCTCTCTAATTATGTTTATTTTTTCTTAATATTACATCCTAACAATTCAAAACAATCTGACTCAGATAAACTGTATTATTCTTTTGGCATTCAAACTATTTTCTTATAAGCAATAAATATTGTATTAACTCGAGTAGAAGGAGTATTCAACTCAAATACAAAAAAAAAAAAAAAAACAATGTAATACAGAGACGAACGACCAATTAACTAAGCTATGACATACAAGGTAACAAATTTTCAAGCCAATCCTTCAAACCGAAAACAAGAGGTCCCTTGCTCTTGCTCCAAACCATTCCCACACTAGACTTTTAGCTAAAGACATCATTTAAATAACGTCATACAACCATATTTAAAGAGGACTCCGTTCCTAACTAACCAAATAGACGAAGAAACTGCTAACCAAGATAAAAGACATGTATTCTTCTTATCTTTCCTTTCATAAAATTTTCAAAAGCATTCAAATGGTCCAAAATTTCACAACCAGTCGACAGTTGATCACACCTTATCCATCCCCCAAATACTTTGCCACACACTAGCTTTAACTAGACACAATAGAAAAAGATGCAAATGATTTTCACCCGACCCTAAACATAATGGATATACTAGGTTGTGCACACCCTTTATAACACCTATTTTGGGCAACTCATCCATTGTTTGAAGCCTATTTAAGAGAAGTATCCAAGCAAATGTTTAAATTTTTCTTGGAACATGTAATTTCCACGTCAAATTAAGAGCATTAGACAGGTTAATATCCAAGTTTGAACTTACACAAGCTAAAGATTCCAATATGTGACAAGCAGCCTTAACCGAAAGACCTGCTCACTCACGCCATCATAAAAACATCTTAGCAATTTTGAGATAATCTTGTACACACTTCCTATCAAACAGATTGATCAATATTCATTAAATTCCAGTGGATGTTAGTTCTTAGGAATCAAGCCAATGAAAGCACCTGATATTAACCTATTAATATCCATTTTTGGCAACTGAATAAAAATTTTCAGATATTTCATTCTTATACTTTAGTCACTTAAATAAACTCTTTATTACTCTTTTCATTTTTTTAATTGAAACTTTTATTAAAAAAAAAGTAGTTTTTGTTTAATTTTAGTTTGCAAACTAATTATAAATTTGTCTATAATATTTTTAAATATTTATTGTTGAGAAAAATAAGTAAAACTTAATAATAAATAATTACATATATTATATAATTTATCAAAAATAACAAAATAAACTAGATTTTAGTGTATGTAAGAAAACACATTCTTTAAATTTTGTTTTTCTACTTTAAATTTTTCAATGTAATTGCTAAATAATTTTAAACATTTTATAATTGATTTTAAGAATCTAAAAGATCACAAAAAGAAACTTCAAGATCTATATATATATATATATATATATATATATATATATATATATATATATATATATATATATATATATATATATATATATATATATATATATATATATATATATATATATATATATATATATATATATATATATATATATATATATATATATATATATATATATATATATATATATATATATATATATATATATATATATATATATATATATATATATATATATATATATATATATATATATATATATATATATATATATATATATATATATATACTTTAGCTATTAAAAATCTAGATCCTAATTATCTAAAAAAAACATGAATTAACAAATCTATATCAAAAGACAAAATCATGGTATAAAATTCAACAAATGATTAAAAGATGAATTATTATTGTCTTAACTCTCAAAACATATAGGTCCAACAAGTTAACGTCATGAACGACAGACATAACACGTATAGTCCATGCATTTACAGATATTTATAAAGTCACAACTCAAAACTCAATCATGCATTTTTCTTTAGCCACAAAACCAATTGACGTACATTTGGAATCATATAAATATGAATTCGTGGCATGCAACTAATGAAATGATGCTCTTCATTTTCCAACCACAAAAACAATTTGTGGACAAAGACATCTTATGGCTACAAATTAAAACACTTTATCATCATTATTATTAATTATTATTCCTATTAGTTTATTGGCCCAACCGTCCAAAGACAAAATCATGGTATAAAATTTCCAACCAATATCAATAAGTCAATTTCCATGCAACCAAATGGACATAGTTGGGTCACAAATTTAAAGGTGTTCATTCTACACCATACAATAAACCTTTCTTCTTATTAACCACTCAACAACTCATAAATTATGGCTCATAATAACCCTTGAAGCATATTCTAATCAATTTTATTTTGTCAAAACTAGTGGAGTCACATATTTTTTATGACCATATTAACCTTACATGGGTAATATAAAGACACGTGATTACTTCCAAGTTGTGGTGTGGCATCCATGTCCTTGTCCACAAGAATTTGTCTAAAGGAACATTAATCACAAGCTATTGTTGTTTTGTTATAAAAAGCTATCAAAGCTTCACCATTAAATTCAAGAAACTAACTATCTCATCAACATGTGCAAAGGCGCAGAACCAAAAGAACACAAGTTCTTCCCAACAACTTCGTTTGATCACAAAACAAGAGATTCTAAATGTTGTGAGCTATGTGGATTACAAGCTTCCTTGTATTGTCAAGCTGATGATGCATATTTGTGTACAAAATGTGATGAAAAAGTTCATGAGGCTAATTTCTTAGCCCTTAGACATATTAGGTGTTTTCTTTGCAACACATGTCAGAACCTTACGAGAAGATATCTTGTTGGAACATCAATGGAGATGATACTTCCTGCCAACGTAAGCTGGAACAAAGGAAACTTGCCTCATTACAGCAACCTTATAAAGTGTTCAACAACACATAATAGTAGTTCCATGTTTCCTTAAATTTTTCTTTTTTTTTTTTTTGTAATCTTTAGATATCTTTTGTAATAGGTTTGTTCAATGTTTTAGATTTTACTAGCATTTCAATGTAAAACACCTTAGTATTTTCGATGCTAAAAATTGAAGATTCTAAATATAGAAATTTATAAAACATGAATCTTACACAAAATTTTTTACCTTACATCTGGCACCAAAATTTTGAAGCATTTTATGATGAATTGTATCCGAAATAATAAAAGTATTGAAATTAATAGATAAGTATAGTAACTTTATCAACATTTCAGTTAAACTAATCAGATTGATGTGTCTGCAACATTCAATATGTGTTAGGGTTTTTTCTTTGATCTCCTTCATCATCACTTCTTTAAGTAATATTCCAAATGTGCTAGTTGCATCTTCTAGTTGTCTTTGGTATATCTGCTAGGTAAATTTAGTTGTAATTTTCTTAACTGAACTAAAATATTTAGCTCAAGTGAAATAGGTTCCATCGTCCTGCCACAAAAATTTATGACAATTTAAATACATGCAACATATGTTAGATAGAAAAAAATAATTGAAAGCAACTCACTTTGAATTGAATTTAACTCATAATTGAGCAGTACTCAATATTATCCATGTTTTTTTATAATCAAAAGTGTTGTGAATAGAATTCCTTGAAACAAAATATAAACGTTTCTTTATATTCAAGAAACACACAAGCGTTAGGGTTAAAAAAGAAAACACGTAAAAAGAATAAGAAGAAACAACAATGATTGGTTAGAAACTGTTATTCTTTCCTTTATCTATCAAAGAAGATTACAAATATACAAGAATAGCAAATAACCTCTCTCTCTTGAAATAGGATTTTATCTTACTATATTTTCTTATACAAGATAAGAGACTAGCATGCTATTTATAAGAAAAATAACACACTAACATAATGGACTTTTTAACAATTACCCATTACAAGTTAACTTAGGGTAAAAGATAACTTAAACAATTGGACTTATAAGTAAGACTCAATTCAGCATGCTAAAAAAGTAGCAATATTGACTAATGCATGCACTATGCCAAAAAAGACCTTTAGCAGCGCTTAAAAGCGCTGCTAAAGGTAAAGACAACACTTTTTTTATGGAAAAAACGTTGTTAAAGGCTCCCTTCAGCAACGCTTTTAGCAGCGCTTTTGTTACCCTATAGCAGCGCTTCTAAAGCGTTGCGTATTCCCCTTTCTCCTCCCTTCAGCAACGCTTTTAGCAGCGCTTTTTTCACCCTATAGCTGCGCTTTCCCCTCCCCCCTTTAGCAGTGCTTTCTAAAGCGCTTTCTTTGACCCCCCCTATAGCAGCGCTTTTTTAAAGCGCTTTCTTAGACCCCCCCCCCCCCCTTTTCCAACCTATAGCAGCACTTTTTTGGCCTCTCTTTACCCCCTTTAGCAGCGCTTTTTTTAAAAGCGCTGTCTATTTTTCATGATTTTAATTTTTTTTTTTTAAATAATCACATTTTTTATATATTTTTCAATAAACCTTCTTATAACAATTACATTCCCTGCTTATAATTCATGCCTTTAATTCAACAGTTTGGCCTTATATATAACAATTACCTTGGCCTTATTTATGTGTATTCATCACTTTGCCCATAACCATTTTAATACACATAAACCTGCTTAAATATATTACAACATCACAAATACGTTCAATTTACAACATCACAAATACATTCAATTTACAACATCACAAATACATTCGATTTACATATAATTACAAATTCGATAACTTTACAAATAGATACGTTATACAATTCTCAACTCAAGAACAAATTGACACCAGTCCTCCTTAATTTCTTCCAATCTTGCTTTCGAGTAAGTACTGCACTTGTATTCATCAAAATACTACATAATATAACAGAACATGCATGATTTAATTTTAAAACTAATTACTCAGATGAAATATCGGTTAATTATTAAAATGAATCGTATAACTTATGAATTGATCCATACCATGATTGTAATCTCTATTTGACCTGAAAGAATAATTTCCTTCATAAAGCAAAATACAAAATATCCGCAGTCAATTCCATTGTGCGGACGAGGACACTGTAAATGGAAAAAACAAACGAACACTTACCAGGATATATAGTTTAAATAGTTTTATCAAGTAGAACCACTATAACAGTCAAACATGGGAAAATATACCTCCACTCTGATCCAGCTGATGTTGTTAGCCTTGCTTTTTGGCATTGTTGCATCTCTTTGTGCTCTGAATATTTGTATAACTCTAACATAATATAAACGCATATTTAGAACAATGTCACATAATAAATAAAGATATATAACTATTCAGAACAATATATCTCATCACTTACGTATCAACCATGTTCTTCAGATCAGGATATTTTGTTGTATCGCCATCCAATGAATCTATATAATACACTATTTCTTTCATCGGATTAATCGCGACCAACAACCAGTGTCCACTATAAAATAAGACAACGGTTTAGACGGAAATGTTATATAGATTAATGGCAAAAATCGAATAATTATAATAAATGAATTTAGAATAAAATCTAACCCATGGCCAGTATTATATGGCAACAAGAACAACTTCTTTGTAGTCGCAGCCATAAATCTTTGGACCATGTAATCTTTGACTGTATCTGGTGTGTGCTCTATTGCCCGTTCGTTGATACAGCTAGCAGATAAGAATGTGAATATGGAAGTCAAATCATGCGGGACCAACAACTTGTCATACAGGATCCTAAAAGAAAAACATAATCAACATTAGAATATTTAGTTAAATGAGAAAATTTTGAAATGTTCAATTATTTAATTAAAATGGATCGGAGTACCTGATGTAGGAATGCATAACACCGACGCCTAATTCAGAATGTTAGAAAACCTGGTCAAAATCCTCCTTATCAAGTGTTTCGGGATATTCAAAACCGAAAATACCTTCCTCCATAGGTATTTGACGGATGCCACCCTCAATCACATCTGTTGTTCCTAAATATGTTTCAAGGCACATCCTAAATCGAGGAACAGATGCTTTTTTTGACTCGGTCTTTTTTTTGTTGGGCACCTTGGACGTTTTAGGCATCTTACCCTTGCTGACTTGTTGCAACTGCTGATCATGAACCTAAAAGTCATATATAAGTTCAGTAATTAATGTATAATAAGATAACCATATAACTGTATTAGTACTTGTTTCTTTGATGCAGCTGAATCGGTATCCTGCATAATAATTCTATCATCTTTTGATTTGGATTTTGTAGGAGTCTAAGATCATCATGTAAATAAGAAAATGTAAATGTAAGAATAACTTTCATCTATGGGTCGTTTTCACATTTGAATATTACAAGCTAGGTTCATAATGGTGTTCAATATATATCATCATCTATGTGAATGAGATTTGCCGGCCATGCAACATACGCTCCTATTGCGTCTCCCACCACTGTTGGGTCTGAAACTTCATCTGGTATAGGCAACAACGCACCCCCCTCTAACGCAATATCAACCGATACTTTTAAAAATCCAGGAGGGAGCGGTTTATGGTGAAGTAAATCTCCCACATTGTTATGCACCTTTCTCTTGCCAACCAAGCGATAAGTCGGTGACGATAAATATAGCCGACAAGGTGAAATGCCCTAAATAAATAATGATGCCGATTAATATGTCAATTAAGAAAATTGTGCTAAATTAAATTCAATGTAATATATACAATTACCTATGGAAGCTTCTGCGGACAACTGATACTATCTTTTTCACTAGCATCTTTACCCTCTAGACCGCGCCTTTCCGACATGTATCTTTCTTTGCCCTTCTGTAATTCCCAAATCTGGGCTTTCAATTCCTCCAACGTATCCATCACTTCTTTATTGGTAGGATTTTTTTTCGTTGGCTTCTTATATAGCTGTGATGGAGTGACGCCAAATCCCTTACCCCTCACACGCCCAGAATATTCAGGGATATTTAACACCCGACTCAGTATGCTCCTGCAATCCTTGTCCTCAGCTGGAGTTATACTCTGGGATAGCGTCTCTTGAAATATAGATAAAAACATATATAAATATATTATACACTTTTGATCAGTTACTGACAAAAATAATGTTGTACTTACACATCGTTCAAACACTTGTTGAACTTCTTCCTGAACGACTCCATCTCTTCCTGCACGGGCAGCCTTCCACACAACATGGTCCGAAAGAGATGTCGCATCACTTTTCTCCTCTTCTATTTGTACATTAAGACGGATAATAAACCATTCATATCCTATTATATATACTTACTAATTTTGGTAACTATATCATATTAAAGCATTTATATATACTTACTATTTTTTGTTATGAGTGTGCATATCCCAAACGCCCTTTTTTGTATGGATACGCGGGTTTTGATGCTCGTTGCCGATTAACGTCACTCACAACCTGAAAAAACAAGTTTAAGTCATATCAGAACTCTTGTGGAAGAAGTATATATACTATGCATTATTCATGATAAGTTGTACTTACTAAAAATTCTTTGGTTCTTCGCTTTGCAACAAATGTCTCCCATTCTTCTTCCGAAATCAGATCAGCGTACTTGTTTGGACGCTCCGAGTCAACAAAGTTTCCATCAGAATCTTTGAGAAGCTTGTTCGATAAAAACGCTCTGAATCCCCTCAGTCGTTTACCGGCCAATTGAAGACAATATTTTCTTCTACAATCATCAATATTAAAAGATCTCTGCAAACAAATACACATACATATAACATATTAGTATAATTAATTTAAAGATGTAACCGTCAACATAATTAAAAATAATCAAGTATCATACATGTATATCGCTCTAAATTTTGTCTTTAGCCGGTTGTAGCGACTGAATTCTCCAATTATCGCAAGTAATCGGAATTTGCGAACGTACAAGTGCTCCAATGTAACTTGTCAGCATTGCACCGTTAGGCTCAACTAATTGATCTCTTTCATTCCAATGCACATCATACTTAACACCCTTATCTCTCGCACGGATGATTTTTTTCATAATCGTTATTCCTCT